GTTTTTTGATTTATGAATCCATTATTGCCTTTATGTCCTAGAAATTATTAAAACTCATGTTACAGACACAGTGTCAATGTTTCCACGGTGTGGATCTATTGCTGGTTTAGTGTTTATGCAATAGTACAATTCTTGCTGAGCTGGTATAAGGCACTTTTTGCAGAAATAAATTTGCATGTATTTTGCCACAGCCTGGTTGCAGCTTTTACCTTCTCACTTTTTTTGCTAGCGGTTTGTTGTAGGCATCTCTTAACTGTTTGTCTCTCCAGTATTGGAGGACCATTCTTTCAAGCTTTTTCATGCTATTTGCTGTGGTTACTTTGGCATTTTCTGTGAGAAAGTAGGAATATTAACTGTCCAAGTGCATACAGGTTTTGCTGCAGAGCATAAAGGTGGTTTTGCTGTGGATGGTCAACTCTCTTTTGTGAAAGAACTCTGACCTAAGTCTCAGGTATGAGAGCCTGAATTAGAAGTGCTGGGAAAATTAAAATGTATAAGAAGCTGTCTGTGTCCATGCTCAGGAATTATAAGTGTGTAAGTTCTTCCTGTGCTCTTTTTTGGCTTAGGAAAATTACTTGGAAATTATTAGTTTTCTTCTGGTTTTGATCTAGTGATTTTTCATGTGATAAAGAATAGTTTGTATTTGAATCTAATTATTTCTGATTCTCAGAATTGAGAAAATCTATTTCTAATTTGTTGCTAGATGAAGACTTGCAGTTCCAGCTAGCAAGATCATTTTGGCAGGGCTTATGTAACTTCAGAGTTGGGAGAACTTTTATTTTTATATTAACTTATTTGTTGTAATTAGCCCTCTGTTTTAGATTACCCCTAAATTTCTTGGGATTCTTCTTACAAATAATTTTTGAGAAGTTGAGGCTTATTTGTGTCTGAATTGTTATGACACCAACTTATAATAAACTTATGTGGCAATGTGACTGTCCAGTTCTGTGGCAGTTATATTTTATCTCATTCAAAAATTTATCGAACTCCCATTTCAAACACCAGCTGTCAGTACTTTGTCTCTGCCACAACTTTGTTCTGATGATTAAAGTTTTTCCTCTAAAATTTAGCCTAAAGCTCTCTATCAGTTAATATACATTTATTCTTATGCCAGTTTTGCCTGTAAGTATTGTTGTTGTCCATCCTCTTTATTGTATTCAGTATCTCGGATTTGGTTTTACAGACTAAATAAGACAAGCTTCTTAAGTCCCCTCTCATATTTTGTGACCATCATAGTAGCTCATTCTATACATATTTTAATTTCTTTTTTTTTTTCATGTTAGATGGATAATTAGAATTGTATGGGATAGTCTGGATGAGGTTTTATCAGTGCCTTGCATGACCATATTAGTGTTTCCCTATTTCTGTTGGAAATACCTCATTTGACACACCTTAACAATAGTAAGTTATTCTGCTTTTTAGCCTTAACTGCTTAGCATAGCCTTTCCGAAAATTACAAATTTCTTTTGAGATTACTGGTTCCCACTGGAGTGCTTCTTTTATCTATGCATGAACCTAAATTCCTCATGTCTATGGTTCATCCCAGTAACAATCCAAATTTTTAGCCCAGTTAAATGAATTCTTCTAGTAATGTATTACATACTCCTAGGCACTAGGGGCATTATGTGTATTTTCTCCTTTTTGTAAGTTTTACAAGAATCTGTAAGTTAAGTTCCTCAATTTTACATTTGCTCGTTTAGATTTGCTTTCAAAACCATATTTTATTCTTTCTTGTTACTGCAGTTCTGGCTGAGGCCAGCCACTTTACCTGTCATCACTCCGCTTTCTTTTTTCCTACTTTCTGCAGAGTTATTCTCAGTCTTCACAGGTTTGGAAGTAGTGAGCTAACTGCTGCTAGAGATCCAGCATGAAGAGGATAAAGTCTGGATCCGTCTGTTCTTTTGCAGGCGTGACAGTATGATTTTGTAAATAGCAAACACTATTTATCATTACTTTTCTAGAAAAGTACAGCTGTATTTTTTGTCTTGCACTAATTTTTTAGTAATTTCACTTTCTGAACTTTTAAAAACTGTGTTTTCCTTTTTGATAGAGAAACTCATTGGCGTTCACTGTACTAATGGAATTAATAGAACTGGCTACCTTATATGTAGGTAAGGGTTGTATAAAACCAGAAATCATTGTTCACAAAAGACAGTGTCCTTACATTAATCTGTAATCCCATTGGGACAATAATCTAATCATAATTTTCTTCAGATATCTTATAGATGTTGAAGGCTGGGATCCAGAGGCAGCAATCCAAGGTATTTATACAGTTTGAACTAAGGCACTTACCAGGTTATAATTCACAGTTGCTACAACTGTATTCACAAATATTGCAATTCTATTTTAGTATCCTTAGAGTTACTTGATTTGCTGGGTTCCACAGAAGATTTTCTCTGACTGCTTAATCTATTCCAGGCAAGGCTTGTGCATTAGCAGATTGACAGCGTAGTAGGAGTATGTTTCAGCTGCTTAAATTTTTTGGGTTTTTTTACTGTTGCTTTGAAGGGTTTTCAGTCCTAGGTTGCTACCACTACTAGTTTCAGTTATTCTAAAAAAGAAAATGCTGCAATGAGGCCAGCTTGTTGAAGTACTGAATATCAGTTTAGAATTGTTTCAAGTTCAGCATCTCACGGTAAACAGAAACTTGCCTTTCACATTTTTGTGGCTCAGTTTGAGCACATTTCATTAGACTTGTATCTTTTTTCCTTTAGCGTTTGGTGATGCTAGAGGTCATCGTATGGATGGTCTTGTGTATCTCACGGATCTCAGAACACAACCAATGAGAAGGTAAACAAAAGCTTTTAGTTGTATGGTTAGTATTTTCCAGTATGTCTACTGATATTTTGAAAAGTTTACTTCCAGTCATAAGCCAAAATTAATCCCCTCTTAAACCTTGTAAGACTTCTGATATGAATACAAAGAAGTGCAGTGTACTTCCTTTGTTCATCTTTTGAATTTATATGGTTCAAAAGCTTTTTTTAATCTGACAACTACTATTGAACATTGGTGTGGTTTTATCATACTATGACAAGTGTATTGAGTCTATATTCTCTCATCGTAAGATGAAAGGAGCCACTTCAAAGACTTCTTTATAAACTCTGTCTGCTGTTGCTGGCATGGTAGAACCAGATATTACAAAAAAAAAAAACACACACCCAAAACAAACAAACAAACAAAAAAACCCACCAAACAAAAAACCCCCACACAACAGTTTTAGGAATAAAGTAGTATGGGAGAAAGTACCCAAAGTGGAAGATTGTTCTCGGCTCCTCTATTCACAGGAGTTATATCCCTGGTGTGTAAGAATTTTATGCTTATCATATTCACCTAAGAATAGCTAACCTTTACATCTTCCTGAGTTATTTGTGCCAATGATATCTTGTAGCAGTAAATCAATTTTAAAATAATACCTGGCTGATTTGAGTCTTTTTAGTTTAATGCCATTTGTTTTACTGCTATCATTGTTTTATAGTCTGTGCATGATTAAGTTAGTCCTGTGTCAGATTTTTTGATAGGTATGGTGCTTGTCTCACATCCTTTAGGATGTTGTTCCAAGTTTATGAAGTTTAGGTATTCTCTCTGCTCTCCCTGCAGCTCTTCCTCAAATAAATTTACAAGATTAAAATTTGCTAAGTTACAAATGTCTGTAAATTTAACACACAAAAATTACTGTCATTCCAAACTGAAGAATTTTATGAGGGTTTTTTTCCTCTCTCTCAACAGTATGTTTTAAAGAAGGAAGCTTATGTAAGATGTTTTTGTTCTTCTTAGTAACCTTGGAATGGATGTATGGGATTCAGACGAAGATATTATTCCACCACCACATACAATGGAAGAACCTGTAGAGCGGATCCCAAATGAAGATTTTCAGGGGTAACAGGCTGAGATTATGGATTTAAAAGCAAAAATAACAACACAGTGGGAAAGATAATTGTTTCTTATTGAAAATACTGTAGATGCTCTAATTTAAAAGAGATATTATGAATATAGCCTAGTCATGCAAAATATATTCACAGAATTTGACAAAACAGTGAAAAGAAGGGAAAGAAAGGGAATGTGTGCTGTTAGAAGTCTGTAAGTAATTAGTTCACTTGGAAAAAATTAGAGTTTTACTTTGCCTGTCCTTTTTTATTATTCTACAGTAATCTGCAATTCTTTTTAATTAATTTGGAATCACTGGTTTTGCCTGTTTAACAAGTGCTATAGAATTACAACTGAATATTTGTCCCAGCTTCCACTATGACACTGGAAGTTTTATAATCTTACTTAGTTTGGATTCTTAGTAGCTTTGATACCTATATATTTTACTTGCAATGTCTTTCATATCAATTCTTAGTTAAAAAAAACTTGTTTTCATTAATGACTTCTAGCACTTAGAAGTATGATGTTCTATTTAAGACGAAAATTTCTTTACAGGTCTGGGAAAAGATTAAGAATTTATGATGACCACTCTCACAGTGATTTACAAGGACAGATACAGTTGAGAGATTTTGATTTCGTTAGTAAGGGACCTGGACAAAGACGAAGACCATTTCATGACCATGAGACTCAGGATGATTTAAGAGCACCGATGCAGATGAGGAATTGGGACTACAGTAGAGGACCGGGACAGAGGCAAAGACCCTTTCCTGATCACCAATTTTATGATGATTATCAAGAAGACGTGCAGCTCAAGGACCTAGACTTCAGTAACAAGGGACCTGGACAAAGGCTGAGACCTTTTCATGGACACCAGTTTCATGGTGATGTAAAAGAAGAGAGACAATCGAGGGACATAGAATTTAGCAGAGGCAGTGGACAAAGGCAGAGATCTTTTCCTGACCATCCATCTCACAGTGATTTGCAAGAAGACAGGCAGTCAAAAGATTTTGATTTTGGTAGCAGGGGCCGTGGCCAGAGACGAAGACCGTTCCATGATCATCAATCTCATGATGAATTTCAGACTCAGATGCAGTTGAAAGAGTTAGATTGTGCCAGCAAAGGTCCTGGCCAAAGACTGAGATCTTTCCACAACTATCAGTCACATGATGACTTACAGCCACAGATGCGACTGGGAGATTTTGAATTTATTAATAGGGGTCGTGGGCAGAGGTTGAGACCTTTTGATGATCACCAGCCTCACAATGACTTACAAACAGAGGTGCAACTAAAAGATTATGATAATAAAGGTCCCGGACAAAGGCGCAGAACTTTTCATGACCATCAGCCTCATGATGATTTACAGGAACAGAGTCAGCTGAAAGATTTTGATTATGGTAATAAAGGGCATGGAAAAAGGCCAAGACCTTTCCATGATCATCCAGGTCACAATGACTTGCCACGTGAATGGTGTGCAGACAGGTAAAGCATCCTTGAGCTGTAAGACCAGAATTAAAGAATAAAAGTGTAAAACTCAGGACTTTTAAATTAGATTTAAAATTAATTAATTCTTAAATTGAAATCAGTTAATCACCTTTTAAATTCACATATTAATGATCATTAATTAACTCTTTATTTTGACCTACAGAAGGATTTGATGTAAGCTGGAGTGCAACAGCTTTGAAAGCCAGTGTTTCCTAAATTATGTTGCACTTCTTTAAATTAAAGCCTTTGCCTTTTTAGCTTGAAATAAAGCTTTGTCCCACTTTGTTTTGTATAGAAACTGACATTTAAAAAGCAATCCTCAAGACACAAGAGGATGTGAAATTCTATTTATGCCCTCAGCCAGCGATAAACAGTATTGCTACAAGGAAGTTTCACTTGCATTTGTTTATTTCCATGAGTTAATAATGTGTTAGAAATCCATTTGCTTTTGAACTTGCATCATATTCTCCCAAATACATGTATCACTTTTTAGTAAACCTATTCAATTCTGACATAATATTTTAAAATACTTTTAGTATTTCAGAATGTATTTCAGATATTTGTTGAGCTAGTAAAGTCTGATATACTCTTCCATTGTACAGCTGAAACAGAGGATATTATATCATTACAATGAATACAATTATTTTGAAGTAATAATACAATTAAGATAAGTTTTTTAGTAAAATTTTAAATAAATTTTAATTAAAAGTAAAAATATTTTTATCTGATTTGATAAATGCATATTTTTTAAAAGCTTACAACCATTTGTACTCTTCATAACATGTGATTCTTTTGGTTATTTGCAGAAATCAATCTTTTTCTTCCCATGAAAATGTCACAGAACCTCATTTCTCCTCATCTCCTTCACTTCACAGAGATTATGGGTCTGATAATGATGACTTTAACAGAAGTTATAGGTAAATATCAGATTTCATATGTTGTTTTCTGACTTACTTTATACTGTTATTCCCCCAGTTTCCCAGCTAAAAAATGCAAATGAACTGCACAGTATAAAAATGGATGTTAATATTTTTGATTAAATGCATTTTAAACCATTGATCTGAACACTGAGCAAATAACACAACTAATTTGTGGTCCACCTATACTGAGTTTGAGTGTCATTATGAAATGGTTTGAGAATCCCTGACATAAGTCATTGACATCACAAGCACACTTCAAGCACAAAATATGAATCACAGAGTCATAGAATGCTTTGGGTTGGAAGGGACCTTTAGAGGTCATCTAGCCCAAGCTCCTTGCAGTAAGCAGGGACATCTGCAACTAGACAGGTTGCTCAGAGGCCCATCCAACCTGACTTTGAATGTTTCCAGGGATGGAACCTCCACTACCTCTCTGGGCAACCTGTTCCAATGTTTCACCACCCTCCTCGTAAAAAATTTATGCCTTATATCTAGTCTAAATCTACCCTCCCTTAGTTTAAAGCCATTACTCCTTGTCCTTCACATCAGACCTTACTAAAAATATTTTCCCCATCTTTCCTACAGGCCCCCTTCACGTACTGAAAGGCCACAACAAAGTCTCCCTGGAGCCTTCTCCAGGCTGAACAATCCGAACTCTCTCAGCCTTTCCTCATAGAAGAGGGTGTTCCAGCCCTCTGACCATTTTTGTGGCCCTCCTCTGGACCACAGAGGAGGGCCACAAAACAGTTCCATGTCCTTCTTATGCTGGGGGCTCCAGATGTGGACGCAAGACTCCAGGTGGGGTCTCACCAGAGCAGAGTAGAGAGGCAGAATCACCTCCCTTGACCTGCTGGCCATGCTGCTTTTGATGCAGCCCAGGACACGGTTGGCCTTCTGGGCTGTGAGCACACATTGGTGGCTCATGCCCAGCTTTTTATCCATCAGGACCCCCAAGTCCTTCTCAGCAGGGCTGCTCTCAATCTCTTCATCCCCCAGTTTGTACTGATACCAGAGGTTGCCCCAACCCAGGTGCAGGACCCTGCACTTAGCCTTGTTGAACCTCATGAGGTTCACACAGGCCCATTTCTCCAGCTTGTCCAGGTCCCTCTGGACGGAGGGACACCCCTTGTCACCGACGTCCACTTGGACATCGAGCTGTTGGCCACTGCCCTCTGGCTGCAACCTTCCAACAAACTCATTATCCACCAAACAGTCCACCCATATTTCAAATTCCTGTTTTTCCAATCTAGAGAGAAGGATGTTGTGAGGGACTGTGTCAAAGGCTTTCAGAAGTCCAGACAGATCACATCCGTTGCTTTTCCCTTGTCCACTGATACAGTCACGCCGTCATAGAAAGCCACGAGGTTGGTCAGGCAGGACTTGCCCTTGGTGAAGCCATGCTGGCTGTCTCGAATCAGGATGGTTAAGCTTGATCATAGTAAAAGGCCCCATGAATGTGAAATATGTAAACCTGGTAACTCTGTTTCTTGTTAGTGATCTACACTCTTTAAAGTCAATTACTTGGAGTGATTTAATAATAAAAAAAAGTTCCACTTTCAGAACTGGCTAGGAAAATACTAGTTTGAAGAAGACACTATTGGGGATTCAGCTGCTAAACTTGGCAGTAACTTTGTAGTAGTAACTTTTTTGTTTGTAGTCACTTTAACTTTTCAGACTTCTGTTTTTATTTTCTAGTCTTAAAGTCTTTGTTGTTGTTTCACTGTGGATCAGAGCATATCTAGGTCTATTAAAGGAAGCTTCTTTAGACTGCAAGTAATGAGCAGTATCCGAACTGGGATGTTCACAGCTTTTTGAAGCCAAGTGTAAATTATTTCTTCTAATGCATGTAAGAAACAGTACTTGTATAATAAGACTGTGTGGGTTTGGTGTTTTTGTTGTTGTTTAGGTTTTTTGTTTGTCTTTGTAGGTATTCTGTTAGTTGGACCGCCTGGTACTGGTAAAACTCTTCTTGCACGGGCTGTAGCTGGTGAAGCTGATGTTCCCTTTTATTATGCATCTGGATCTGAGTTTGATGAGATGTTTGTTGGTGTAGGAGCTAGTCGCATCCGAAGCCTGTTTAGTAAGTTAAATATTTGTGGTTTTGGCATCCTTAAAGATCTGCCAGCTCTGTTCTGCCCCCCTGTCCCTGAGGACTGTTTCCCAGGGGGTCCTACTGACTAACTCCTTGAAGAGCTGGAAGTTGGCTTTCCTAAAAGTTAGGGTCCTGACTATACTCCTCGCCTTTCCCATATCCCTCAGGACTATGAACTCTACCAGCGCGTGATCACTGCAGCCCAGGCTGCCTCCAGTCTTGACATCATTGGTGAGCTCACTTGCATTGGTGACCATCAGGTCCAGTATTGCAACCTCTTGGGTAGGGGTGCCAATTACTTGGCTTAAAAAGTTGTTCTCAATGCATTCTAGGAATCTCCTGGATTGCCTACTGCTCGCTGTGCTCCTTTTCCAGCAGATATTGGTGTGATTGAAGTACCCCAGCAGGACAAGAGCCTGCAAGCGTGGTGACTCCTGGAGCTGGAGGAAGAAGGCTTTGTCAGTAGGCTCCCCTTGATCAGGCGGCCTGTAGTAGACACCAACCACAAGGTTCCCTCTGTTGCCTCAGTCTCTGATTCTTACCCATAAGCTTTCGACCTGCTCATGGCTATTCTTCAGGGGACAGCTCTTCACACTGTATTGATTTCTTGACGTAGAGGGCAATATTTCTGCCCTTCCTTCCTCGCCTGTCCCTTCTGAACAGCCTGTAGCCATCGATAGCCACACTCCAGTCATGGGATTCATCTCACCAAGTTTCAGTAATGGCAATCAGGTCATAGCTTTCTAGCAGCACAGTGGCTTCCAGCTGCTCCTGTTTGTTGCCCATGCTGTGTGCATTCATGTGGAGGCACTTGAACTAGCCTTTTGGCTGTCGCCTGCTTAGTGGAACACCCCTTGTCTCCCTTGCAGTGTTTCACAGAAGTTTCTTTGTTGGCCTCTACTACCTCAGGAGCTCCCAGCTCATCTCCACAAGACTTTGTGCTGCAGTGCCCCCAGCACGCCTCTGAGCAACTGGCTGAGGGCCCATACTAGCACCCCATCCCTCTAACCAATGTGTATTATCCCACAGGTGGTCACCGGCAAGCTTGATAGGTTCCCCCTCTCCCTTCACATCTAGTTTAAAGCCCTGTCAATGAGCCCAGCAAGCTCCTGAGCGAAGAATGAAAAGCTATTGTTTGTAAGCAAAAAAGCAAAATACAGATGCTGTATTTAACTCTTAACTGCTGTCTACAACAAGCTAATGAGTTTTACTGGGACAGGTTACCCAGAGCAGCTGTGAAATCCCCATCCTTTAAGACACTCGGAACTCAGCTGGACATGGCCATGTACACTCATGAAATTAGATCTACTTTGAGCAGGTGGCCCTAGGTACTTCTGGAGATCCTGTCCAGTCTAAATTAGTCTATGGTTCAGTGAGGGAGAAGATTTTAAAATTACAAAGATTGTTCTGAATTGGCTTTATACACCACTTATTTCACAAAGTAGGTAAGGTACTTGAACCCAGACAAAAAGTATATATATCATATATGCATTTTTGGGTTCCTCAATATATTTTTTGGTAGGAGAATGCTGCTTCTATTTCAGAAGAATTAATAACTAAAATATTTGGAGATACAGATCCAAAGTATATTATTGCCTGTTGCGACTATGTACTAGAGAGCTACTATGACATATTATTCACAAAAATGAAAACATAGGCTTAGGAACAAAAATGGCCTCTAGGTAAAGAAATCCTCAGTAAACAAGAAATTTTAATTACAAACAGCACTTGAAACAAAATATCTTATGGTAGAATTACTTCCTATAAAGAGCTATATTTTTTAATCACTAGAATTGAAAAATTAACAAACAAGTCTGCAGCATCCATCAGAGAGGATGTTAATGTTAGGGGGTAAAAAGAAAAATGAGGGTCTGAATTGTTCTTTCAAGGTTACACAAGTTTCATTTTTAATGGTGGCCACCAATAATAAATCAACTGTTTAATTTCTAAGGATTTCACTATTCATATTTGCTCTTCTTACAGTAATCGACCAAATTGTCCTGAAGACAATAGGAGAATGCATCCCTCAGATGAATTTAACAGAGGGAAAAGCAGATTTGCACCATATTCTTCACGAACGATGCATCCATCTTCATCTGTACACCAAGAAGATAGTTCAGTAGACTATGAAAGAAAACATTTTCAAGGTGAAACTGCCAGAGAGATGGAACAAAGAAAAAGATTACCAGTAGTAACAGTTGATTACAATTATGGTCTGCCATTAGATTATGGACCTGAAGAGGAAGAGAGGACACATTATGATTTACCTCCAAGAGACCGCTACAACTGGAACTGAATAAAATGGACAATGTTTGCTCAGAGTAGACTTACCCATTTTACTTTGTATGTGGACCAATTTATTTTTTTAAAAAACAAATTAGGAAAAGGCAAATTTCAGTAGTAGAGAACTGGTCTCTATTGTAAGATTATCTTCTACTGATGTTTGGTTCTTTAAATTTGTTAGGGTGTATTTGTTAAGTGTAGATGGAAACAAGGTCTCAGTACACCTGGAATTAAAGCAGGCCTTCCTTTTATTGAAATTGGAACCCTGTACCTCAAAACAAACACCTTTATGAGTGACTGTAGTTGTGTCTTTTGTTTTACATTTCTTTAAAATGTATGTAATTTCCGGATGCAAAAGTCATAATAAAATGCTGCACTATCAGGTAGACTAGCATTGAGATTATAGAAAAAATACCATGAAATGAATGAAGCAAAGTTATGTCCACTTCATCTTTTCTTTGAAAATAGCAGTTTGAATTATTGCTAACAATCTCTGCAGCATTGCAGTTTAATTCCAGATTTTCTGTACCACCAACTGAACTGACCTAGTTGCACTCTTTTTTTGTAGCAGATTTTTTTCCCAGATTTCTAAGAATGCGGAAGCAAATGGAGTTTGAATACTCTAAATGTCAAACTTGCTTTTCAGTAATCTGAATATCCCATTCTGATTGTGTATTTTTTTTTTCCTGATCCTATAGGTTATATATGTTCCAGAATAGCCCAGTTCAGGTAAACTTCACAATTTTCTCAGCATCACATCCAAATGAGGTAGCTCGTGTCATCAGCTTACCCGTCTCGACTGGTCAAGATCACCAGTGCCTATATACACTACACCTCCTTGTTTGTCAGTCGTATCTGTCTTACTCTCCAGTTCTGTTTTTTACTAGTTTCTTTTTACAGCATAGCAGAGTAATGTAATTGGAATAGAAGAATAACCTCTTCAGGTAAGTTACTTTTAGAGTCTCCTCTGAACTGCCGCTTCAGTGGCTCTCAGGAAGGTAGTGTAACAAACAGTAACTAAATTCATGCCAACAGCTGCACAGTAGCACCAACAGCTCCTACTGTGGATAAAGAAATCTTAGTTCACAGGATAGAAAATGGTATTAATGTAATACTGAGGTAAATTTTTTAAATTACATTTTTCATTATTAGTACATTTTAAAAAATTAATATTTTTAAAAAGCATCACAGTAAATAAGGATAAAGCTAGATCATGCTATTAAAATAAACAATTGAAATGAATGCTAGATACTTAAGTCATGCAGTTAAGAAACAGCCTCAAAAGCAGCATAGCTGTAAAGCATAAAGCTCTTGCTTTTGCTTTAGGTGTAGGTATACACTAGAGAACTGCAAGGAAAAAAAAAAGTGTTCATGGTTAGAACACATTTTTGCCTTTTAACTAGCAGCAGAAAACACAGATTTCTGAATTCACAGTTCTATGGCTATTAAGTAAGGACTAGATTTGAAAAGTGTGGAACATCCGGGAACTTCTGTTTTGTAACACATGCAAAACGTTCCCAAAATCAAAGGTTTCTGTGGATATAAATTCAAACTGCAAATGCTTCATTGCCTTTGCAACTGGTAGAACAACTTTGGCTTTGTTCATTGTACAAAATAAATAGTTTTCTCATTTTCACAGCAGCTAGTCAATTGTATTTCCCATTAAATCTCTGACTGTGAGCCTCATTCATGTGGTCTTGGGAATGGCGCTCTCTCTATATATGTGGAACTGAGCACTAAATGTCAAGAAAAGGCATTTGTTCCTTCACTTGCTGCGTTTTTTTTTTTTTTTTTTAATGAGGGGTAAGATGAGAGTCTTTATCTAGGCTTCTGTATTTGGATCTGCAACACGGGCTAAACAAAAAAAAACCCACTCTGGTATTCTCCAGCTGAGAGCTAAGAATTAGGGACTGGTATTACAAGCATTTGGAGTTTTTTAATGCTATGTATGCAGTATTCATAAAGTGAATAAAGAGCAAACATTTGCCTTCATATTTTTATTTTGGGTTTTAATTATATTTTTTAGGTTGTTACATCAGATTGGGAGTGCTAGGCCTCCCTGGAGAGCTGAAAAGCTCAGTGCAAGGAGAAATGTGGCTGAAGGAGGTAGGATCAGCACTAGCAGTTACCAGTCCTTGGTCTGTTGCTGCAGGACCCTGTCAGGGTTTAGACACAAACAGTCAGATAGTATAAGTCCTCTTATCTGACAAAATAAACATTACTTTCATAACTATGTTGGATTCCTCTTTTCAAGCAAAATGAATAGACATGATGTTTCCACAAATGGCTTTGAGATGACTATATGAAAATACATAGCCAAAGTTTGGTTTCGGTTTTGGTTTTTTTTAGAATTTAGTATAAGGCTTTCCGCCCTGTTGTTCCTAATGGAATTAGGCAGAGCTAAGACTACATAATACATTACAAACTGTTACTGACATTATCTCAGATTCCACAGCTGAATCATCACTGCATATTTGCCTCTCTAGTACTCAATTACTAATTGATCCACATGGTGGAGAATGAAATTAAATAAAACGCTTCTTGTTTTTTACCCAAATATTGTATTACAGCGGCACTCATAAAAAATCACACAAAAAAATCCCAACACTTTTACTTATTTCACAGTTGTACAAAAATATTATAAAATCTTGCCGGCTTCTTTTGTGTATGTTCTCAGCAAACCTAGAAATAGCTATTGTTCTATCACAGAGCAATAAAAAGCAAGACTTGGATGGACAGTGTTGGTCTCCCACTGCCCTGAGTGTGAAATCTTGAAGAAAACATAAGGATATAGAAAATCCAGAGGTAGCACAAAATTATTTGCAAGAGTTATAAAAGTGTATATAAGTATTGAACTCTGAACTCACAGAAAACTTATTTTCTGCTGCTGTCCTGAAGTCAGGATTTAATTGGAGGCCTGATTTTTTTTGGGTGGTGAAGGCATGGGGCCAGCTCGCCTGCAGGTATGATCATATTGAGTTAGGAAATGTTGAACTGGTTCCTGGAAAGTGCTGGGAGAAAGTTCAGATGAGCTCTATGCACAAGGCGGACTCCCAAAAAGGGCTTAGGAAAAAGAGAGCTCAGCTCCAGCAGGAAACTAGAACACAGGGATACAACTAAGTTTATACGTGGAAACCTGCATTACAACTACAGCTAATTCATTTTTGCATGTGAAGAATAAACAGATATCTAAAAAAGGCTAGAAAGGTTTGCATGTGACTGTTTTTCTCTCAGCTGGGGCAAAAGGTAAATGACCTACAAGGAGTCCCAAGTACAATTAGGATCCTTTTCTGTTTCTTTGCATGTAAACTAACTGCTAGCAAGCTGCAGGCTTTTTTTGATGTGCAAAAGTGATCAGTGATGTGTTACAATTCAAATTTGGGGTGCATTGCTACAATCAGTGTGTGACGACCAGCGGTTAAATGACCTGAGCACTAGCTTCTAAAGATCAGTTCCTTCTTCAGATGTCTCACGAGGCACCTAGAAATGCAGGCACCCAAACATCATTTGTGGTTTAGAATCTGCTCAGGGCTGAGGAACGAAGGAACGTATTCCCTGGCTGGGGTTCAGCAAGGAGATATGAATACCTGGCTACTGTGAACAGCAGTTTATTTAAAACGTGTGTGCAAACAAAAAGCAATAGTTTCTATGCTGTTATCAACCACTAGTGTTTGCTTCCTCTCCAGGCTGACTCTTACTTGCTCCAGTTGTCAGTGGACTGTGCTTTACTGTTTCCAGGGGACAGCAATTACCGAATCTTCAGATCCCTTTCTTCTTCTTGTGGGGAGTCAGAAAAAAGAAATGACAAAAAGGAACCAGATGAGGAGGCAACTTGGTTCTCCTTCCTCTAAAGGTGAGAAGACAAGGACTGGGGGATGGGAATTTAAAAGAGAAAAATGAAGGAGGAGGGAAAATTAAAATGTCAGGGGGAGAGAGTTATCAGTGTGAGGGAAGAAATGTGCAAAAGATGCACGTGTAAAAAGCTGGTGAAAGATTACTGGGTGTAAAAAGAGGGCACATGCTGGAGGAGGAGTTCCTGGCAACTCCTTATCTGGGTCTTCTAAGCTGTGCCTGTGGCTCTGTGTGAGCACCATGCTGATGTAAATAACAGTTATCAAAAAAATACAGGAGCACTCAGACTTCTAATCCTGCAATAAAGTCATGTGGGAGCTTAAAACTAATTAAGGCTTCCCTTTAAGCTTTAAATCTAGTCTATGTGTAGTATAATATCCTGAAGATACTCCCTCCAGAATCCAATAAGAATTTCAGACAATCAAGTAAGAAACTACTCTGCAAATCTGTTTCACACACTGAAAACAAGCTATGTGTTTACTGGATATCAGGCATCTCATCATTTGAGGAATGTGAGAATCAACACCAATTTGTTTATTAAAAATACATACCTGTCTTATTGCACACTTTCAGGGCAGTATCAAAACACACTATAATTTTGCTATTCCTGTACCCATCACACAAAATTTACAGTTATGAATTAAAGTGAAACAAACAAATCTGAAGTAACTGCCTCTATAAAAAGTACAACAAGCAAGTCAGTACAGAGTCATACTGAAAGCAGAAGGCATTTTCTTCCTTTATGTAAACATGCAGGTCTGAATGTTCCACAGAGGAAGATGAAAGAGCCCCCAAGATAACTAAACTTAAAAGTTGACACAGATGAGGATAATCCTCATGCAGTTCTTCAAAGGACCTCTTCTAACATAAACAGAAGTTTTTACTTTGCAAGTTACACTACCAAACAAAAGTCTACACAGCAAAATTAAACCTTTAAGGAGAAGAGAGTACAAGCTGTTGTTGATATGTTAATCACATCTCAATCCATCTTTGGGGTGTATTCGGATGTTCAGGGATGCACACAGTAAATAGAAGAAAGTATAAACTGGTGTTGCAAAGTGAATGCTACAGCTGATTCATCCTTGTCTGCACACCCCAGATGAAAAATGGGACCACCATATCCTGGTATCTACATCATGTTGGAGCAATTTAATAGCACTTCAGGTACGTGGTGAATGGTAAATTCTGATTTTCAAAAGTTACACACCAGAGCTCTTTAATAGCCATAAAACATATTCTGAGAAACAGTGTTTACAAATTAAAAGAAAAACATTGTTTTCTATCATTTACTATACTGGTTATAATAGGATATACAGAGAGCAAAGGATTTGTTCACACAAATTTTTTTTAATCTAATTTAAACTCATTAACTGTAGCAGAACTTGTGATAATAGCCACAGATTAGCCTTCTTTTCTATCTTTGAAAAGCAACAGCTTTTGGAAAGAGCTGGACTAGATGTGAAACCTCTGGCCCTGTTTATTCAGCATTATAGTGTGGTTCTGAATCCTTATGGCCCTGATGACAGAGGTGCTTTTCTCTTTATGCTCTTTGTATTCAGTTTGTGCACACTGGAATTATATACTTTTTTTTTTAACTGCATAGGCTAATGTCCCTCTTGCCTTAGCTCATAAAAAAGAACAATCTACTGACATTAAATAAAGAAAAAAACCTTACAGCCACAGAAGCTTAAGTAATAGAAGAACTTAATAAGACGTCTCTACTCATTTCTCTCATGTTATTTTCATGTTGCATTTTTCCACAGGCCTATGTAGAAAGACCTGCAGTTTATAGGAAGAGTTTGACCTCATTATTTCCATTTCTCTTTGTCTCTAACTGTGGCTCATTTTTGCCTGTTACCTTGATGCAAAAAACCCACTTAGATATTTGACAGAGTCTTTTTTCCCCTTCAGTCTTCTTTCTGGATATGAAATATTAAATTAATCTTTATATATGTATGTATATCTATGTATAAATGTATGTATATGTGCATTATAAACATATATATAAATTTCTGTATATAAATGGAGATCTCTGCTCTCCTAAATATCAGTGAGAGATCAGGTATAAAGATGCAGTTGTCCATGTGAGTTACTATTGTTAACCTCCTAATACTTTGTAAGCTAGATTTAGTGAATGTACATACATTTTAGTCACTTTCTTGACATAGGAGGTGGTGTGGTTACTAATAACACCCTGCAGTTAGAGGTAAAAAGAGAGAGGATTGAAATGTAACAATAACAAAAGTTATTTTGGAAAAAAAGAACAACTGTATGAAATGGATAGCTTATACCATTTTCTAAAAAAAACATGCCACAGGAACAATAAACTACTCGAACTATAATATATTTATTTAAATCAGGTGCCTGGATAACAGCTAGACAAAACTAAGGAACTTCCAGGTTTTATGTATAAAGTGTGTCCAAAGAATATCAGTAATTTAAATCTTCATCTGTTATAAAATAGGGTGGAAACTAGAGCTGAGTTAGAAAATTAGAAGTTTGAGATCATGGAACTAAATGCTGGAGAAATTACAGACCACAGCTAACAAAAATGAGGTTGTTGTACAGCCTTGTACAACAAGATTGATCAGTTGTTAGGAGTATCTGTTTATAATGGAGATGGGCAGGGACCACCGCTTCTGAACAAGTCCACGCAATCTCATGAGATAAAATCCCTGAGAACAGAAGGTCACAAAAGAGAATCACAGGTTTGTCGTATCAGAAGCCTCAGCCTCTCACTCAGGAAAACTGTCCTGAATGTACAATCTTAAGTACGATCAGAGGTAATGAAATCTGATGACATAATTATACAGCTCTGGTGAAATTTAGAGCCTTTTAGATGTTGGTGATTTCCCCTAACTGATTGTTATCACAATCCTGTTTCCTGTTAAGGAGTTGGGAGCCCATCAGATGTTTTTCACAAAAGTTGCTAATCTGTGTTATGGGTGGCAGTGCCTTCACCCTGATTTGTGTCTCAGAATACAGCATTTCACTGCTAACTCTGAGGGGCTTTTTTGGACTACAAGAGCTATCAGTCAGCATCCAGCCTCCAGTCACCATCACTTATGGTGAAGAATTTGAGGGGGAGACTATGTACAAGTTGCCACATTTTAAGGAGGCTTTCAAGCAGGTTATGCAGCTAGTCAACAAAAGATTACACAAGAAAAAAAAAAATCCTTCAGCAATCAGAAATCTGACTTTAGTGACACCAGTAAAAAGGGGCCTAACCTACAGAGATAAAATGTAAAACAAAAACTAGGAAGATTAACTAATACTTGAAGAAAAAACAGTTAAAAAATAAATAAGAATTTTAAAGTATGTTAGAAATAGCCTACAAGATAACTTGTTAGTTTGCAGACCTCAGAACAGGAAGCATCATTAAGAAATACATGTTGCAAAGAACCTGCACAATTTACCTGCAAAGATCGTAATATATAAATTTATCTCAGAGCAATTTTTCCCCAGAAAATCAAAATAATGATAGTAATTAAGACGCCAGCAGAGAAGATGTCTGAACAAACTGCTGAGCAGAGACAAGCTTCTAAGACTAGCTTCCCTTCAGACAAGATTTCCAAGGGAATTCAGAAATCAAGTAAGAAAACCACTAAAATACATGCAAACTATTATGAAAATAATCTTTTTTACCAGACTATAAGGTATACAATCTTATACCTACAGTTACAGAGAGGTTGATGTGATCCCAAGCAATACAAATCTACAAACCTTCAGGACATGGAAAACTAACTGGAAAAATAAAACCAGAAGACTAGAACATGTAGAAGATTATGGTATGTCAGGTCTAATCAGGAGAGATTCTGCCAGCAAAACTGTGCCTCTGGCATCTACTATGTGCACAGCTGTAGCACTTGGAGACTGCACCATTTTCCCCCTAGGCTCTTTAGGCATACCTAGCAAATAAGAAAGCTGCAGTTGCCATGAATCTGCAGACTAAGCGATAAGAGTTCACAGGTGGACACAGTTGGCAGGAGGCGAAAAACAAATATAACTGAGATCAGTGCAGGAAGTAATGATCATAATATACCAACTGACTGGAAATTATTGAGTTTTATCTAATTTAGGAACAGGTTTGAGCAAGTATACTGGCATACAGCAGATTTGCAGGGGAGATTCTTCTAACATACGCAAAAAGAAACAGAAGAAAATGTGTGGCTACTCCTTGAAAAATAGGTCAAAAGAAAACCAATGTGCAAAAAGGATTGGTATTACTTCCGAAGCAGGTGAACAGATGCATGGAAAAAGAAGAACTGGTGTCATAGGGTGTAGGAAAAGGATTGAGCAGAAGATACAGGTGAGCAGTTAAGTAATGCTGTGGTTTGCGTAAGCATCACATCAAAATACAATATATGGTGTGAAACCTGAATGAATTGTGTTTCAGTCCGGAATGCCTGCTATTAGGTGAATAACATCATTCTTTCTGTCTTTTGCAGATTGTTTTGCTTGGACCACAGTTTATCATCATTTCAGCAGGTACTCAGTGCATAAGACCCACCACCAATATTTTCCGTGCACTTATTTTTATCAGGTAGGATAACCCCTATGGAGCTGTTTAAAACAAATTTTATTACATGTTTGATGGGCACTCTGCCTTGACTGCTATTAAAACAATGCACAAAATGTTTTTAAGGAACCTAAGAGGAAATTGAGTGTTAGAATTGGAAATACCACCTGAGGGTCACTTCAGTAACACCAACAGCAGGACAGAATGGCTGCTGTTTCCTGACTAAACAAATGCAGAAATATTATCAGAGATGTTTGCTGTACTTCCCTCTCAGTGGCATCTAACATGCAAGAAATATACGTCCACCCTCAGCCTGCTCCTTGCTGCTCCCTACACCAACCCCCCGCCGTTCCTCCCCACATGGCTGAACAGCAGGCACCCCATCATGTGAAAACATGCACACACGTGAGAGGAGCAGACGTGTGCCTCGGTTCAATGGTCAGGGACCCAGGCAGATACACCTGCAATACATGATGGCATACGGTGGCAGAAAGGAAGGTGTGCGTAGTTTTGGAGTACTTCAGTAAGAAGCTCTTAGCCTCCAACTAAACCCATTGTATTTTTTCTTGTATTCTGGTACAGGAGGCATATTGAGTTATCTAAATGTAGTTACTACATCAGAGCCATGACAGAGAAGAGAAAAGGCGTTATCTGGGTCATTGAGTATAGCACTGTGACAAAAACCATCTCTACCACTGAAAATGAAGACTGTGGTTTGCTCTGGCCACATTCTGTGATGCAGAGGCCTTGGGCTGACTCATTTGCTGGTGTTTGGCTGCCGCGTTAATGCCAGCTCCTCGTCACCACAGAGCTCCCACCAAAGGATGAAGGACAGGAGGGGGACCCGGCAGGGAAGAGGCACCCGGGGCAAACCTTTCTGAAGGACTCAGGTACAGGCTGGACCCGCAGGGACAGGCTGAGGTATGATGTGCCAGTGTCTTGTTGATAGAACTGTAAACCAACAGCGAATGCGCAGATGGCGTTGGTATGTCTGTTTGGAACACGTGTGTGTTAGCAAGGAATGAATGAGCGAACCCACGCATGCCGAGTGAACTCCTTCAGGGAAAGGGAAACCGTCCAGGGGACAGGCTGGGGCGGAGCAGAAATCCCTATGGAAACGTTTGGTATGAAGTACGCGCCACCGTGGGCTTTAGAGGAAAACTTTATCATGCCGTATTATGCAAATTCATGCATTTATGCAAGTTTATGCTTCACTTACAGTAAAGAAAAATCTATTACTGTGTTTTCAACTTATCACATGAAAGGTTACGTACGTCAGCTAAATGTACGTCCGGCCCGGGATCGTTAATTTCCATGATTAGTCGAAGGCCGGCTCCCTGATCCGCATTTCTGCGCTCCGCCCGCAGCAGGCAGCGCGCACCCGGCGAGCGCGCTCGCCTTCCCCACGAGTGACCGGGGCCCGCGGGGTCCCTGCGCGGCTCGTCCCGCTCCCCC